GCAGGAATTTTCTGGGAATCTCTGGGACAACCAGATTCTCCACCCAGGAAGTTAATCAACACATTTATGCATACAAATTGGTCTAGGCACAGCAGGAACTGCCTGGGAAATCTCAAGAACTGTCTGAAATTCCCGCTGGGACAGCTCCTGTAACAATCTCTCAAATACTTCTTGTGCAGATGGCCAGCAGTTCAGTCAATCACCTAGTTTCAACTTGGTCTGCTGTCTCAAACCAGCCCTTTATCTCATCTATACAGACGACTAGCCTGGGAGTTCCTGGACCGCTCTGGGAATTAGTAACTTAAGTGCATTGGGAGTGCGCACAGGCACAGCCCTGAGACCCAGCTACATTACAATTATAATTAAAGAATTAAACTTTATTTTTCTGCTTAAATCTCATAGCCCTTGCCCATCTATCTGACAAAATGATGTCAGCGTCTGACCTAGTGAACTGCCTTCACAGTTCAGATGGAAGTGGCTAAGGAGTGACTCATCTCATGCTTAAGTAAATGCCTAAGGTTAGGTGATATTTATGCCACACCTTATCCCAGCTTGGTTTTGCTCTCTGGATCACAACACTGATTTTGACTGAGCGTGCAGACTACATAACATTTCTGATACGAAATCACCTAAGGCAGCACTGATAGAGAGATTTGTGGTCTATTGTTTCTGGGAACAGTAAAAGCTGGAATATTGTCCATATATGCAGCAAACTATGGAGCTTTTCACATTTCACATTTCACTTGTTCATCTATTGCAGAAACCTATTCACCATCCCTACCTTCAAGTTCACAAATCAATTGCAGCACGTTTGTGGGTTGAACCAGTTAAAGGACATGACTTTTCTGTTTTACCAGTGATGAAGAGACTACGTTTATCTGGGCCATCAAGATTCACACACAGCAGAGCAGGCAACTGCTCATTCTACCTTCTGCTTCCCTTAGTTCACCTGATGTTGTCAGCAGTCTGTCAGGCAACATCTGTAAAAACAAACTCGCCTCATCTGTATTCCACACATCACACATACAGTACTGCTTTATCAGCTGCTCCTTCTGCTCTGGGCCAATGCAGATCACAATGGGTTTAATGCCTATACTTCCTTGTGAGTGAACTGACATGAGATTCCACGTTGAATAATGAAGCGTAGAAGCTAAGTGCTCATGTTGCACATCTTCAATAGTTAGCTCTGGAGTTTCTTCATGTAAGGCTGGACTGAAAAAAACACAATATCCTGCAGCCTGATATTTGCAAGCCACAGCTGTAATGGGTCTTTTAGATCACTGTTTCACAGGTATGTTTTTTTCTTTTATTTAATGTTCAAAGAAGACAATTTTCAGTTTCCAGTTATTTTGTGGGATGCATTGCTGTAATAGCTACATCTACTGCATTAGGACCAAAGCTGAATAACATGGCTAATGTGATCATATGAAGTGAATCTACAGTGCCAAGTAACCTTCCAGTTTGTAGTCACAGCCATATGTGACCACATAAATTTGGAAGAGTTACGTGTGGGCCATACTGAGTAGAACAAGAATGAAGTCTGCAGCTATGGAATGGCTCAATTACTGGCACCATTATCAGCTGCCCACACTTCAAGGATGCTTATTGCTGATTACTAACTGCATGTAGCAAGTTTAGTTAATGGGAGAGAGTTGCACTGGCTGTACAGTTCACAATCTGAACAGCTTCTAAGTTGAGGGAGAGCTTTTAAGCACATATCTCCCTTGTAGTTATTGGCAAGGCAATGAGGAGACAGGCCAAGTTATGTTCGGGAAGGTTACAAGCATCTTAGTAGAACTGGCTGTTACACTCATCAAACTAGCTGTTTAAAAGACATATATCCAGCAAGCTCCCATTTCAACTGTGTCTGACCCTTTTCCTGGAAATGTTGTTATCTTGGCTCCCACCCACCTCTAGGGAGAGAATGAACGTAGGGTCTTTGTGGTGCAGGATGAACATGAACAGCTGTGTCACCTTGGAAAAGGAAAAATAAGTCTTCTCTAAATTTTAAAAGGAACGTTTGACATGCCTAATTCACAGCAGCAGACAAAGTAGATACGTTGGTTTGCTGGCCCTAGAAATTCTGGGATAATCGGTGGTACCTTGTCTTCCCTTTCTTGCACTGAAGCGTCCAGTTCTCCTCTAAAACCTGAGAGAAAACAACACCTACTGCAGAGCCTTATTTTCTATACCTTCCTTCAGGACACTGGTTGCTCTAAATCTAAGCTAAACAGAATGTATTTTAAGAATTGCAGGATATCTTAAGAAACATTGCCAAATATTTTAGTCTCCAAATTCTGCCTTTTAAAAAATTAATACTCTAGTAGAAAGTGTTGCCTGAATTCTAAACTCAAAAACAAAAAAGCATCCATACTATTTATGGAGGATCTAACATTATGTTCTTCCTTCCACTGTTTGAGCAGGAACAGGAGCAGGAGCAGAAGCAGGACTTTTCCCAGGACTTAAGGGCTCAAGCTAACATGCCAGCTCCTGCTGCATTAGAAGTAAGAGGCTGGAAGCTTATACTTTTCCAGAGGGAAAAAAACAAACATGAAATGGAATGTTTTCTGTAGCAGCTAAAATGTGTTCCAAAATCATGAAACATTGGTGAATGAAAGCTAAGCAGAAAATTCCCATGCCATTGTTCAGTCTAAACCCTTTCAAATGTCAGCAATTGGTATTGATTACAGGTTTAAAAGAGAACTACAGAGGGTCATTAAAACTGAAACATAGTGTATACTGTAACACTGGATTCATAGATCACTTTAGAGAAAGGTAGACTTTGTAGTAAACATTCCAGAATCAGCTCTATGTTTTCTTAACACTGGACAGCATAATATAGCTCCCAAGAGTACAGGTGAAATACACTAACCCAAAACAATCATTAAATCCTCTCTAGAGGCTACAAATGGATGTTTCTCTAGAGGAAACAAATGAGATGAGCTCCTATAGCTGTCTGTAAACAGCTGTCTGTAAACAGCTCCTCTGTCTTCTTTGCTAAAACTTGCAGAATGATCTGGATATGAGCCAGCATCATACCTGGCTTTTTAAAACTCCATTTATATTTAAAACTCTTTGCTGTCCTTTGGCAGTGTCTGTCACATCCATCTATGCTGAGTACTACTTTATACTATGTTTTTTGGCTACTGAAATCAGGGAAATTGCTTGGTATGCAGTATGATGAGCTCTGAGCAAGAGTGGCAGACCTGGAAAGATGTATTTATGCATCAATACCTGCATCCAGTAAGAAAGCGGTCCCCAACCTAAAGCCTATGAGTTACATGCAAGACAGTCCAGTGCTGCTTTAGGTCACCAGCCATACAAAAATTAAAGTTGAGTGAAGAGGGTGAGACAAAACAAGACTTTGCTCTGTAGCCTCATATCTGCACAGTGTTTTGCCTATAAATCAGCAAGTTGGGGATCACTGAAGTAAGCTCTTTTGGTTATTATTTACTTAACTGGATTGGACCATACCCAAATGACCAGAAGGAAAACACTGAGAGGTCTGTCTTGCCCAGCTGAGAGGCTAATTAAGCACTGTAAAATCCTACAATTTGCAGAAAAGCACATGTAATATAGACACGTACAAGATTTACAAGAACAAATCTCCTCCTTGATATGAAGCTATAAAGAACAGAAGGAAGATCTCTAGCTAATTAGGTTAGTATCAGCTTACGGCTTCATGTAGAAGGACCAATAAAACAATAAAAACAAAATATTTTTATCAAGGATCATTTTTTTCCTTTTCCATCTCTTTCTACAACTTTCTGTACTCAAGATTCTACAACACGGTGTGCTTTGAATTTACCCCTTAATTAGCAGAGCAATTTGCTAAAGTTTGTTTTTTTCTTGTTTCAGGGTGCTGTTCAGAACAGTCTGATAAGTCATACAAATTATTGCCACCAACTCCAAATGCTAAAATCTGAATACTTCATTTTACTTCCGCAGCTAGAAAACGTGCAGCTCAAACTCAATGCCGTGCCTCTGTGATCTAATTTAAACTTTCTAACTATGAAAAGAGAATTACTTATGCTTTGAGTAAGTGATTTTTTTTTTCCCTTGGAACTCTCCTTTCTTCATATTCATTCCTTTTGAAAGGGCATCCAGATAAAGAAGATAGCTATTTCAAAATGGAATACTGATACCTCGTCAGAGTGTGTACTTACGGTGTTACACACCCATGCTTAAGGAATGCAGGGAAGTTGAGTGTTTCCAGTAACAGACTTGGGCTTATTGAATAAGATACTTAAGATTCCACCACTGCTACTAGGAAGAAGTATCCTTAGCAAAATATAACGTGATCAGATGCAATTCAACCTGGGCAACCAGAATTCTCTTGATAACAAGTAAAATTCTAAGCTGCTAAACAACATATTCCATTAGTGGAGAAACTGCACTGCTTTTAGCGATTTAGTATCTTCTAGTTAAGTGTAACTGGGGTTACAATCACGTGGGTTAGAATTAGTTTTAGCTAGGGAGAATATTTTAGCCAGCAGTTCTCCCCCAGGTGCCCAATCAAGAGAGATGAATAAAAAAGGGATGACATGAAACCAGAGGTGTATGAGTAACATTTGTGTTTGTCTTTCTTTACCTTGAGCTCATCTGCATCATAGAAGTCTACGCGCACAGCAGGGACCATCCATGTCTGGAACAGAGTCGCCAGGATCTGTTTGGCAATTGCATCTGCAATGAGGTGGAAGTGGAGTGGGTTTCGCCTGATATGAGAAGGGAGAGAAATGCATTAATTCAAAGGTTTCTAATTCCTACTGTAAAAGGTCAACATCAGAACTTACAAAACTTTATCTATGTCTAAGGTCTCAAGGTAAAGTGTACAGCATGTTCGGTGGAGTCCTGCTCTGTGACCAAAGTGCTGAGACACTGACAATTTGAATAAACGTGACAATAATAGAAATACTGGATCAGTTTCTAGGTGGTTGTAAATAAATATAGTTCCTTTGACTTCAGTGGAATGTGATGATTTATAATAGCTAAGGATTTGGTCCCTTCTACCGGTTTCTTAAAAGAAGGCCAAGTTAATCCCCCTCTGGGGACTCGAGCTGTGAAAGTGATTACTTTCAGTTTTCTAGGTCAACCTGGTAATTTATCTTTGTGGTAAGAACACTTGTCTGTGGAGAAATAGGGAGGGAAGGGAAGGTTAAAAAATAATCATCTGAATGAGGTGAAATTCCAGGACCATTGAGTTTACAGCCATCTTTTCTACACAGGAAACTTGGGGTATCAACAGCTGTCCTATGGGAACCCAAAATTAGATGTTTCAGGTGAGTGCCTTCTAGCTACTGCCATAGTAAATAGAATGGAGATTGTAAATCTCCCAATGTCCTTGTTCCTAAGAGGGATGGAGGTTGAAGAAAAGCAGGAACAAAGAAAATATTTTACTTCAAAACACCAGATTTGGGTTCACCTGTGTACTTACAGGACTTGGGCTAAGTGAAAAGCTTCAAAACAAGACGAGTGAAGCCAGTATTAGCAAGAGTGGCAAGGTTTGACAAAGTGCATGGATTTTTCCATAGCAATGTGAACTTGCACATTACAAATACCATCTTTAAATCCCTTAACCTTGCTTCTCTCTTTGAGGAACAGTAAGCAACAACTTCTGTGGTAGGACTATGAAAACCTACCAGTGGAAGTTAGCCACGATTTGTAGTCTTCCATGTTTATCTCTAGCTTAGCAACTTTCCCTGTCAGCAGAGAAGGACAGAGTTTGCAAAAGCCACTAAGACAAATGGTTCATTTAGACTTTAGCATTGGCTCAACCTTTCTTCGATCACAGAAATGGAGTCTCATTTCTGTGAAATTTGTAAAGGTAAATGGGTGTACTTGTTAACTGATATTTTTCATCTAAAAAGAGAAGCATTTAGTTTCAGATGCTGGTTAAAGTGGAAGATGACTGATGCTACTGCATTCTGCTGTGTCAATGAGAAGTGAGGAAATCTATGTTAGTCCAGGCCAATGTACTTTCATTACACTTTTGGGCTTAACCCAAAATATGAAGGTTATTTCTTTCTCCATTTCCTGCATTGATGAACACTATGTGCCTTTCTCTTTAATGTTACTCTTCTTGCTTTGATGAGTAATACTGTTTCTCACTGAACAAAGTCCACAAGAAAACGTAAAAATACATATGATGGTTCATAACACACCTCCCAGCAGAAACAGGAGATTGGTGTGAGAAGCAACGTATGGCTGGATTTTGCAATGTTAGAAATACCGTACCTAAGATCCAATCCAATACCCAGGGATGTCAGTGAAGCTGTTGTACTGGCTTCAAGGGCACTGTGGATCAAATTACGTGCTTACAGGAAAACCAGAAAAGGGCTGGTTAGAAGCCTTAAATGTGAGATGAGATAATCATGATGGCAGAATAAACCCACAGCTGATCTGTGTTTAACAATATCCAAACCACTAAGCCACAACATGCTTTCCAAAACGACAAAGGTCTTTCGATCTCCAGCTTGCCCCGGAGTGAGGAGGGGAGAGGGAAAGGCGTAGGCTGCCAGCTGCTGAGCATCCCATTACCAAGCTAAAGGGATCAGAGCAATTATATCTGCTTCACCAGCCCAGCAGGAGAGAAGAAGAGGACATCCTGGCTCACGCAGATTCCGCAGTAACCAGGCACCTTGCCAAGAAAAAATCGGGAAATAGCAGTGATCAGGAAACACATTTCATTAGCGGAGAAAAGGCCAAGAGAAACAAAGTATAACACCAGTGGCTTTGGGTACAGGCAAAGCCATATCTCAAGGCAAATAGGTGTTGAATGTCAACATACACATTCCACATAGGTCCCTCTGCTTAGCAGGGGCTGAGTCTGGTATCCAGTAGGACTATTTCCCAGCTGGTGTTCTTTAGTAATTTCTTTTCCTTTTTTTCAGGGTCATTTATCTATATATTGCAAAGTAGAATAAGAAGAGCAAAAAATCAGTTAAAAACAAGAAAGCTAAATCTTCTTTCAAACCATCATTTAGTTAAATGGAATTGATATAAAATATTTGAAGATGAAACACACTAGTTGAAAAGAAAAAATCTGATACAAAGACACTCAGATGTTCAGTGGCAGTTCATACTTATCTGAATGACCCAGAGTGTATGAAACTTAAATGGGAACAGGTGGGTGACATTTTCTTTAGTTCAGCTCCTACTGGGAAAAAGAAAAAAGGAGTAGCTATACTCCTACACAGAAATCTCTTTCAAGTTGTTAGCCTCATGGTAAAGATTCAGCTGGAAGGAAAGTATGTGTCAGAGGCAAAGCAGAAGATTATCACTTACAAAAATATATCCCCAAAACAGAAGAGTGACCCGCTGACATCTACAACTAAATGTGCATCAGTCACAGAAAATTTTACTCCAGACGAGATTTTAGTTATGTGAAATGTGAGGCTTAGCATGGTGCTAGAAGCCAACAGAGCACAGATGCAAACCTGGAAGACCTTCTGAAGGTAACAGTACCAGCATACACACAGATGACATCTTTTACCTCTTCTGGTGTCTGCAATATGCAAAGCCTAAAAGATATGGATTGCTTCAAAGTGTTTATGAAACAAGTTCAGAAGCTTAAAGATCAACCAGCATCCATTGTAAAAGATACAGACGAGATTCTGTAAGATGAGAAATCTTTCTCAAGAGATATGAGAAAGGGATGTCATCTTTCCTCTTAATTGTTTGCCAACATGACTGAATCACTGCCTGCAAGAATTAGGGGTGACAATCAGGATATTGGGAAGGATTCCACTGAAAGCTACCTTTCATTACACTCAGATGTTTTGCTGTACCATTTGGTGTCAGTGAAAGCTATTCCATTCTTCAGATTGGTTTTTGACCAGGACAGAGACACTTTGGGATACGAGGTTTATAAAACTGAAATCAAACTGTATTGTTCCTATGACAAGTTAAGGGATAGCCATGTGGAGAGCTATCCTTCACAGGCATTTAGCAGCTACAGTTTAAAAAGTTTGGGAGATACCTGAGTCTTCAGAGGGAGGCTTGAGAATCCCTCACTTGGGTAACAAAGAAGGGTGGCGTGGCCTTTGAAGAACTTTAACGAGCAGCTGAAGACACTGAAGTTTGCTAGTGGAAGTTGAGTGGCATGAAACTGGAAAAATATGATGCTCTGGTTAAAGAACATCTACCTTTCTGTTGTGAAGGTAGATCAAGTTATGAAAAGGATTTCAATGCTGTGGTTTCCTGCAACAGCAGGGGAGTTAATGAGACGACCCGACAGGTTCCTTCCAATTCCCTGAGCCTCAGGACTTCAGCGCAGGACATCTTTCTTGGGTTGAAGGGAACCTGGAATCAAGTCTTGGAGACAGTGATGACCAACACAAACCTCCTCTTCCCTCATTCCAAATGTGAGGTGGACTTCCTTTGACTTCAACTTCTCTAAACAACTCAAAGCACAGCTGTATGTTGTGTTTATTTTTAATGTGTATGTTATCCCATATAACTCATTTTCCACTGGGCACGTCAAGAGAGCAAAAGAACCACACATGGTAGAGGTTGGTTATATCCTGTACTGCTAGAAAGCACTATACCGTAAATGATGACAGTATATGCAGCTATGGAATAATATAGGTCAATATATGACAATTTTGATAAACCTCTCTTACAAAACCAATAGGTTTTGGAAAATTCCCAGTATTCACGTGAATTCATATGTTTGGAAGTCAATGTTTCTAGTGTCCCGAGTTTCAGAACAGCCAGCCTTTGAACTCTGAGACCCAGGTCTTCTGGATTCCTCACTGTTGAAGCAGGTATTGAAACAGCCAGAGAATTTCTCCCAAGGCCCAGAAATCACCTAATCTCATTTACCTCAAAGATTTTGAACATCTGAATTTTTACCAACTACAACTTTTCACAGTTTCTGCTACATGGAAAATGCTGACGCACTGATGTCTTAATGCAGAAGAATGCCATTTCAAAATATGGGTATTTCCCATCAAGTGGAAAATCAAGTGGATTTTAACCACTCTGTTTAGAAAACCGCAAATCTTCATATATTAAATTATTTCCACTTATCTTAAGATCAGAACACTATTTGACAAAGTAAACCATACGTAAAGAGCACACATTTATTTTCCTAAATTGCTTTCCTCAAAAGTGAATTAAAAGAGATTCTGGCCAAGATTTTCAAGCATGGATGCTTAAATATAGGCTCTTAGGCCTAAATATAGGAGCTTAAATGAATGCTCTCATTTTCAGAATTGCTGAGGTCCTATAAAACTTAGTAAAATGAAAAGAAGTCAGTAATTTTAAAAGTCAGGCTATGAATTTAGGAGCCTATTCCGAGGTACCCATTTCTATATTTTTTTTTTTATCGTGACGTCTTATTTTTACATTTCAAAACTTCTTATTCTTCATCAGAGTTTTGATCTGCTTGCTCAAGCATTTGTGGTCCATTCTTTTCGAACAGCCACTGCCACAGAGTTAAATACAAAAATCTACAATTGAAAAAGGGAGTAGTGAACCAAGACTCACTCTTCCCTTCTGTATTATTCCATAGCTCAATTGTTAGCAATTCAAAAAGCAGCTGCTTAGTTGCACAGTTTGCTCTCTGCAACAGAGGAATTTTATTTTCTAAGAATATAAAAAGGTCAGTAGCCCAGGGGGTTTATTTCCAAAACCTATACTTTATTAAGGGAAGCACAACAAGGTAATACCTTTTATATCTGTAACAAATGGTTACAAGAACTTCAAACAGAAA